CTGAAATTCCATATGGAATCACCATGAAAACTACTGTCACTGTTACATGTTTCTATTGACTCTTCACTCAAATTACAGATGTTTCATCAGATTAGACCCCCGTGGGGTAGATAAGAATGTGTCCTCAGCACCCAATCGCTGGTTGTAAAAGGCGACCGAATTGGGCAACCTGTTTGCCGTGGGTTGCCCCCCTGTGTCGGTGGAGGATGGGATTCTGGTGGTTCAGGGCACTGGACCAGGAATAGGTGTTCCTTTGCCTAACACACCAATTTGACCGTTACTTTACCTAGACGGGTGGTAGAATTGGCCCAATTCTATCAATCGGCTGCTCACGCCATGCCCTGTGCATGAAATACTTGATAATTTAGACATATCATATCACACAGGTTTTGATCAGAATATAAAATTTTGCCTAGAGTCCTATGCCAGAAGGCGGTGGTCCATTGGCCAATCTGGTGATACGGACCACTGAAATCATTGTTTTTATAGGAAAATGCCATGGACCGAACCATCCTGACATTCCTCCTTTTATTAACGACAGCTATTCATGTCTTTATTTCTGGAGTATAACACCCCTGTGTACCTGGTTTTGTAGTACCTTTCATTATGGCTACCTCACAGTTCACTGGTTCTCGTACAAAATCAAAGAGAATGCATATTGATACAGACACTGTTGTGTCTTCTGATGAGGAATCTATACTCAGTGTTGACTCTTGGCCTGAATTTCTTGTTTTTGAAGGTGTTGATGGAGAACCCCTATAAATCAACCCTTCATCGTTTCGAAATCTAATCAGGGAATATGTGGTACTGCAGTGTCTGCTCTGGCTTAAATTTTCTTGGGGTCACTTGGACCCCTTCATCATAAAATTAGAGGTCCCAAACAAAAATGGAGGGGTCCAATTTGTAGCATCATAATATAACATAAACAACAGAATACAGTGGTTGTGAAAAATCAGACATCTTTTCGCAACTGCAAAATATCAACAAACAGGCAAAGTGAGAGAAAGGTTCACATCAGGACACATCCTGCTCTCATGACCAAGAGGTTTACATTAAGGGACAAACAATTTCTTAAAATGGAAATTTTTTGATACTAATGAATATTTTAACACAAAACTATCCATGTTAATATCTAACTTTGTAAATGAAAAGGCAGTACACGGGTGATCAGCCATTGGTAAGGGGTCATAGGGGCAGACATTTGTTAATGTTTATATCTAGATCTTCCAATGATTTGAAGTTTATGGATTCAGTCAAGTTCAATGGCTGTTCTGATGCTACTGTACTGAGTAGTGAGTTCATGTCGTAACTGACAATGATCAATGAGTCATAACATAATTGGGATATCAAACAGTTTTTTTAAGTAAGAGTATGTTCAGGATCCAGCATTTCCTTCATAAATCTAGTCAACAATGAACATGTTTCAGGTGCTATAAATGTTAAAACATGTCATTTACACTAATAACGGTTCTGTCAAAATGTGTTTTGCAATTCTTAATATAACCCACAAGAGATTGAATTATAATCAGCTTGATAAGTCTGTTGTAGAATAACTAAATATTCAGAGTCCGCTAAATAAAAACAATGCTTACATTCAAGTGTTCGCATTTATTCTTTATCATATACAGTATGGCGGCATCGATAAATCTCGAAATCCACACAAACTGTCGACTGTTTACTTATGCAAATCTAAGCACGATATATTTCATTGCATGATCGAATACAGGACTCGTTGCGGTATGTCACGGCTACTTGTACACACGTTAACTTCTTTATGATAGTTTATGGGATGTTTTTGAAGTGGAATTACCCCTACCTCCATTCGAAATTGATACGAAAAAGAATCCATTTGTTCAAACGAAGTCCCTTGATCAAACCTCGGTCGTATGTAAAATACAAAACAGGACGTGATGTAAACCATATAACCCACACAGGAACTTTGTTTACCGAACTCGGTAAAGAAAATCAGCATCGATCAATCCAATGAACAACAAAAAATATTTGAATCACATATTTAATAAGTTTATAAGCGTGCCACATTTCAATCCATTATGAATTAACTACTGCGATAACATAGCGTACCATCCTTCACGGTCGCTCGATTTCGCGGGTCACTGTTACCACGTTCTGAAGTATACCCTTCATGTGCCGGGCTATTTTTAGTTTGACACAAGGTCGGGATATTTTCGACCAATCAAGCTAAATGAATTATGACTATATCCGACCTGCTTAATATGCGGCACCTGATTGGCTGAAGCAAAGCTACGGACCATACCAAACATTAATACATGCAAAACCGAAAATAGATATAGGTCAATTTTTCATAAACAGGGAGAGAATAATGAAACTGGTTTGGTTTAGCAAACGGAAGTGTTAATCAACATGCTTCCCTGTCTTGTTTGGCAACAAATACCTTTACGCAAAGACGTACGTCTTTGATTTACGATAACAGTGTCAATTCGATATGAAAATAATAACACCCCAGTCACTGCGTCCACGAGACCCACACATGTTACGCAGGTGCGTTCAAACTCATTTTTGTGCGTCCAAGACGCAAAAACGCGCTCTTCAGCCAACACTCATACTGTCAAGAATGTTACTCGTCTCCAGTCTGGTTCACAGCTTGTGGAGTGTGCAAAGAGACAACAATCTCTAAATCTTCTCCAAGCACATCATTTCGCAAATACTGAGATTGTTGTCTCGGTGCATTGTACGCAACCGTGCCAAGTGCCTTTCAAATATATGTCAGAAGAGGAAATTGCAGCAGAGCTGAAGCCTCAAGATGTAACATCTGTAAAGAGATTTATGAGAAGAGATGGTGACAATCTTATTAAAACCCAAACTTAACTTTTTACATTGCTTTAACAAAAGTCCCTTTATCAATCAAAGCTGGATATTTCAACATCGGAGTGGATGTGTACATATCAAATCCACTCTGTTGTTTTAAATGTCAGCAGTTCAGGCATGGGGCTAAGTCCTGTCGTAACTCAGCAATTTATTCCCACTGCAGTAAGCAGCATGATGGCACTGACTGCACAGATAACATCAAATGTGCAAACTGCAGTGATGACCACGTGTCCTCCTCGAAATCATGCCCCTCTTTTGTGACACAGACTAAAATCCTGAAAATCAAATATACTAATGATATCTCATTCTCAGAAGCTAGGGCACTGTTCAAAAGTCAATCAACCACTCCCAGAAACTGAAGTTCCCTCAGTCACTATCACTGATCCTGAAACTCAATCTGAGCCAGTTAATGAGGTAGAAAGAAATGCATCAGTAACCAGAAAAGAAGGGAAATAACAAGGGAAAAAAGAACCCAGGGCCCTTAAACATATTAAGGTGCCTTCAACATTGACAGTCCCTCAGGACCTCTGGAGGTTCAAAACCGATTTGAACCTCTTGATATGGAGGTCACTCCATCGCTGTCATTACAAATGTAGAGATTTTGTATGGGCTGATGACGTGCTTCATTCCGCTTGCTTTATAGGCAGGGTATATAAATTAGCATCGATTTCCTGTTATTTTACGAGAAAAATACACATGCGTTATGAAACATTGTCCTGCATACAGTACACAAATACCATTGAATTTGTGAATCATCTTGTCTAGTGATGTTTTATTGTAAATTTCATGTTTTCATTGACTAAATTTGGAAACAGCAAAACAAGCACACAAACTTTTAAGTATTGTAGCATTTCACTGTTTGGGTTGTGTGTTCGAGACGCTGAATATTTAAGGATTTCTTTTGGAATATGGAAATATAAACGAAACGTGCATCGGACATTGTGATGATGCGGCGGTGCCTGAGAACCAAGAATATATTTTTTTAAGCCTTTTATTTTCTGACTTCAGGCAATTTAAAATCAGTCTTGCAAACATCCATTTTTAATCAAAATTGTTTTGAATTATATCTTGATATGATCTAGCTAATGGCCAATACGACATCGTCTTTTGTTGGTTACCCAGACGTGTTGGTATCACTGGCAACAATGGCTGATGCTGCTGCAACAGCAGCTCTCATCAAATCTTTGACACCACTTCTTATCCCATACAGTGATTATAAGACTGTTGTTAGATGTTACATCTGAGATCTGATGCAATAGAAGTAGGACATCCATGTAGGTATCAATAAATTACATTAAAGTAAACCAAATACTGGTTACACCTACTAGGGCTGTCTGTCCAGATTTGAAGAGTACATTATGCAAGATGTAGTATTGGCCACAGCAGATATACCAATTAATATTTATTAAAAGGTGAGGATCCTCCATTCTGCATCCCCTGTGATGAAAGAATCACGGTCAAACATGTCCTGCTTGACTGAATTGATTTTGCCATCACAAGGGATAAATATTCATCATCTCTCAAGGATCTTTTTAGTAATATTAATTCTCATTTAATTATTGGCTTTCTAAAAGAAATAGAATTGTATGATAAATTTTGATACTTTGTTCTGTAATTTGTAATAAATTTGTACATATTTGCTTGGTCCTTCACAGTCCTCTGAGTATAGACCTTTTTGATTGTTCAATGTTACCTGTTATTGATCAAACTCAAGGGATTCTGGAACCTTTAGGTACCCACGAACGACTATTAACTGTCCAGAATGTACCAGTATACCAGTCACGCTGTATGTTCTGGCAATGATGCAGTAGAAGTTTTGTATTCGCAGGAATTATCAAACAATAGTTATCATTGTAAATAATTCTAAAAGTACTACCTCATCACTAGTAATCCCACCCACCTCCCCAATTTTATAGATCTAGATAGTTGATGTTGGAAAGGAGTGAGTTGTCCTGTCTTGCGCTTGTGCAAGATGCCTGGGCAGCAAGATAGCATTACTTGTAAAGCTGATTATGGATAGTTGACAGGGAAAAAAGCACATCTGTTCAAAATGTGGAACGTTTTTCATAGTATAGGATTTATGGCAATGATGTAATACATGTGGTATTCTTAACATTATTAACAATGATAACTCATATTTTTTCGCTTTGCAGGAGAGTGTTCCAATCTATCATCCGTCTCCCAACATCAGTCGTCCAGCTAATCAGTTAACAGAAGAGGAACAAATAAAAATAGCTCAGAGGCTTGGCTTAATAAACCACCTTCCAACTGGGATATATGATGGAAGCAATAAGAAAGCAAAAGAGTAAGTATGGTATAGGGATGTCATCATATATCATGATATTGATGTATCAGTAATTTTTTTATACTAAATTGACAATACAGTTGGTTTATCCATATTACCATGGTTAATTAGGATGGACAATGAGAAGGCAGGAAATTCAGTTGAAACTTTTAATGGATGAGCCTAGTTAATATTAAGCATTAAATTGATTACTTGCAGGTCTAGATAGGTGAGAGAAAAATTCTCTGCACAATGTCATGCAGAATAATGAATTTTAATTTTAATCAATATATATCGTGATTCTTTTGAATAATCGACACCTTTAGTATAAACATGTTCAATTGGCCTTCTCAGTTCTATCGGGGTGGTCGGGTAGCCTAGTGGGTAAAGCGTTCGCTCGTCATGCTGAAGACCCAGGTTGAATTACCTACATTGGTACAATGTGTGAAGCCCATTTCTGGTGTCCCCTGCCGTGATATTGCTGGAATATTGCTAAAAGCGGCGTAAAACCATGTTCACCCACTCACTCACTCTCAGTTCTATCCTTCACATATGGCTGGTGTATAACAAACATACTTGTTACAATACTAAGGCCAATCAAAATATGTGTTTAGGTTAAACTGGTGTAGGTAGGAACAGAATTATGATGTTACCTGGTTACTTTTAGAGTCAATTTGCTCAGATGTTACCATTACTTGTTTCAAACTGTAATAGACTGTAATAGTAATAAGTCAGCACTCATTATGTTAAAAGTCTGAGCAAATTAAGAATGAAGTTTTGTGACATGAATTGCCCTATCCCGTACGTGACCACTTTGCTTTTACAGCTATTGTTGTATTAACATTGTCATGTTGAATAATGGTGTTCATTCTTAAACCAAATGGAGCAGTGTTAATTAAAGAGACCTAATTGACAATGTAATTGTTGGCAATAGAACCTCATTGTCTATCGTTTTGTACAGGTTAATAATTATAATTAACAAATGTTTTTTCATCTTTTATCTTACTATTATGCCTCCGATGGTATCATAGTGTTACTTTTAGTGGTGGGGTAGCCTTTTGGTTAAATTGTTTGCTTTTCACGACGTAGACCCAGGTTCAATTCCCAACATGGTTACAATGTGTGAAGCCCATAATTCCTTTGAATACCTTTTCTCTATTACATCATTAGCCATTAATTTCTGTTTTGGCTGTTATCACACTTTAAAATCTTCAGCAGACATCCTCTTCACTGCCATACATATCTAATTGTCGTGAGGGAAACCCTATCCTCTTCTAGATGCAACTGCACATGCTCAAGACAGGAAAACAACACTTCTTTCCTGTGTGTCCAGATGCAAACAATCATATCATTTAAAAAAACAACACAATTTGGTTTTGTTATTGACACTGTAACTTCATTGCGATGATCTTAAAGACAAGTACAGACAAGCTAAGAGCAGAATTAACAGATTAGTGGAGCCAAATCGTTTTTGTAAGTAGTTAGTATATTCTCCCACTCCGTCGCCATCTGGCATGTGTTCAGGGTGCAGCATTGGTCAACTGATCAGAAATCCCCACCCTAGATGCCTCGCATGCATATAGAGAATGTGTTCTCCAAGCTCTAGATAGAGCTTCTGCAAACATCTATCTAAGGAAGCTTAACAAACTTTCCGCGGCTTGGGGTACTCCCGTATTTTCTTGAGAAGAGTGCGCACCCCAGTATAATGTGTACCCCCCTCTAGCGGATTTGAATATTATGCTCAGAAAAAATTACACTGTAACTCTTCAGTGAATTCCCGTAAACGAATGGGTCATGAGAAACTTGGTCAGTACAAATTTGAGATAAAAAATCACCAGACATGTTGATTTACCGTTTAAATTGTATTTTTTGTTCTTCTAGGCCTTGTTTTACATCCAGGGACTTAGATTACCTTGTGTATTTTCTCGTAAACTAAGCCAGAAATAGCAATCAGCTGGACACACGTTTTCTTGGAATCTACTGGTGATTCGGTCAAGACACACCTGACGATATAACTTTACAAGATTTTAATGCAAGGATCATCAAAAATTGTGTCTGAAACTATTTTTTTATCAGGAATAATATATTCCAATATGTTGCTATTTTAGTTGCAGCTTTTACTAAATATTTTTAAAATAATTATAATCTTAAACGAAGCAGCTGATCGCTATTGCCAGGTATTATTTTTCACATGGAACCAGTTTGACCAGTCACCAATCGAGGCTCCCGCGCATTTGAGCACGAGCACTACGTGTTGACATAGAATCGCCAAACTATAACAAGTATAAATTTTAACGAGTCAAAGTATGGCATTTATGATACAATGCTACCTTTGGGGTCAAAATAATTGATGAGCGTTATAGATGATCAGCGGTTTAACGAAGGTCAAGTTGTAGGTGGTAGATGACCAACAAAACAGTATACATGCTCTGCCTACCCTAACACAATCTACATTGCATGTTTAAGAAGTTGTTTATGATTCATAGTGTAAAAAAAGAATTGATTGAGTATTAATCTGCGCTTTCAAAAAACCCAACACATCGTTTCCATTCAGGTGAATAAGCAGGTAGATCTATAACAAACTTGGTCAATAATAGTATGAAATTTGACATGAAACTAAACATTATGATTTACCATTTAAAATGTATTTCCTGCTCTCAAAGGCATTGTTTTATATGCAAAGATTAAAGATGCAAAGACTACATGTGTATTTTCTCGTAAACTAAGCCGGAAATACCAATCAGCTATGCACATGTTTTCTCCCAATCTACCGGTGATTCAGTTAAATCGTACCCAGTGATACCACTTTAAAGAAATCTGATATAGTTGAGGTCATATTGGATTTTGATTTTGATCATTTTTTTCGCAGACATTTTACTTTAAAGATCATATCTTCTTAGGTTCTTCACAGAAACAACTGAGACTTTACATTAAGTTACTTAGTCGTATGAACCTCATTTTGTTCTTGGCTGTATGCTAAAAGTAACAATGCTAATATTTAAAAACAGATTTGAGTGCAAATACTGAATGAAGCACTCGTAAATCTAGGTAGGATTATCTCTATTTGACTGTCGACTACCCTTGAAGATGAGGGTTAGAATTGTTTTTCAGCAGCCCATGCTTGTCTTGAGAGGCGATTATAGGGATCAGGTGGTCAGGCTCCCTGACTACTTTATTTCCCAATTGCCAAATGCTAGCATACCTTACTTTTGACGGCTGGGCCACCCGTACCCCCCAACACCCCAGAACAGGCCAATTTCTTGTGGCGATGTCCAGCCTGCCTGTGGTTACTATGTTACTTTGTTTGTACGACGTACAAACAAACCATTTGAGGATTCGAACATGGTCTAGGTCGGAACTGGGTTTAGAACACTCTGGTTCACTCTGGCACTCTCAATTTCGGAGCGGTGATGTCCTGCAAACGGTGACTATCTTTTGACGGAGTTGGTACAAGCTAACCCTTTGAGATTCGAACATGAGGATTCGAGGTCGTAGATAGGTTGAGAACAGCCTTTGACACCCGGCACATGCGAATGTCATAGCAGCAATGTCCGCAGTCGGTGCCTACATTTGACGGCGTTGGTATAAGCAAACCATTTTAGGATTCGAACATGGTCAAAGTCAGAAATGGGTTTAGAAGATAAAGGGTATACCCCAGAACCATCAATTTCATAGCAGCAATGTCCCGCAAGCGCTGCTTACATTAGACGCGTTGGCACAAGCAAACCATGTAAGGATTCGAACATGGTCGATGTCGGAAATGAGTTAAGTAGCCCTCTGACACTCCGGCACATGCCAATTTCGTAGTGACAATGTTCTTCAAGCGGTGACTGTCTGACCATATGAGGATTTGAACATAGTCGAAGTCGGAAGTTGGTTATAACACCATGGACACCCAGGCACATGTGAATTTCGTTGGTGATGTCTCACAAGCAGTACCTTACATTTGACGGCGTTGGTACAAGCAAACCATTTGAGGATTCGAACATTGTCGAAGTCAAACGTAGGTTAAAAACTCACTGGGACACATGTGGTGATGTCTCGCAAGCGGTGCCTTGCTTTTGACGGCGTTGGTACAAGCAAACCATATGCAGATTAGAACCTAGACGTCTGAAATGGGTGTAGAACATCCCGGGATGTTCTGGGGCACGTCAATGTTGTAGGGGCAATGTCTCGCAAGAGTTTCCTTACTTTTGACAGCATTGGTACAAGCAAACCATATGCAGATTCGAACATGGACGGCGTGTGAAATTGGTGTAGAACATCCCTGGGACGTTCTGGGACACGTCAATGTCGTAGGGGCGATGTCTTGCAAGTGTTTCCTTACTTTTGACGGCGTCGGTACAACCAGTCTATTTGGGGATTCGAACATGGACGAGGTCGGAAACAGGTTCAGCACTTTGTCTTAGCAATGCAACAATAACCCGGAGTCCTGGCGAACTCAGAACACTAATCCGTTTTGATTGTAGCTCAATGGACAAGGGAGCTACACTCTTTTTTCTCCCAGACTATTTGACCCCTGCCACAAACTGCCATACAGCAGACCTCTGAACACTTGTATCTCGGAAACTACTGGTCCGATTTCGACCAAATTTTATGTGTGTATGTAGAGTGGGATTGTCTAGATTATTATTGTAATCATATTTTCCTATTGTAATCATTCGATTTATTATTAGGGCTCTATGCCCTGGGATACCCCTGCACATGCCAATTACGTAGCGGCGTCTTACTTTTGATGGCATTGGTACAAAGAAACCATTTGAGGATTCGAATATGAACAAGGACTGGAATGGTTTCAGAACACCCAAGAATGCTCTGTCTCCCGCCAATTTTGTCAAAACGGACTAATGACATATCAAGTAATAAATTACACTATAGCATACTCATGTGCACTGCATTTATAAAGTGGATTCAAGTAGACTGGAACTAAATGACTTATTGTCAATAAGTATATATACCTATGTTGTTAAGCACTATCCATCACTTGCTTGATAAAGGTGTTAGGATCTACACCGAAACGT